GAATAAATCTGCCGCTGGAAACAGCACTGCGGACAGGTTCAGTCACACTAAGCCTATCAACTTTCCTGTCAGACTAGACCTTAAATCATCAGCTACTCCAAATCTGCTCTAAAGTGAAAGATTAAATCCTGAAATCCTCACAACTAGTTTAATGTAGAGCACAGACTCCATTTACATGCAGGCATGCAGCAACAAATTTGCTGGTGACAAGTCTCACCAAGAAGCTTTTCTTTTTCAACGAATAGGTTTCGTCAGAAGTCGGAGTGGGATGGCATAAAGTGTTTGACTTGTTACTTGGTCAACTCGCTGAGGGAATCTGGGAAAGCGAGACATATTGACGATGGGAGAAAATGATTCTGTTTACATGGAATCCAAAATCATAAAATAATGAGCCTTGTATTTGATATAGCACCTTCCATGTTTGTAGCATGTCTCAAAGTGCTGCACAGGTTTTACTGTACGATGGAGTGACTGTTTTTTGTAGGCGAACGTGGCAGCCAATTTGCACGCGGTGATGTCCCACAGACAGTGAATTGAATGACCAACTAGACCAACATGAAATATAATCAGTAGGAGGCCAGCTTTACTCTAAGGGCAGCCTGCAGGATTGCGATGAAGTAAAGGTCACCCACTGGGTGCAATTGAGAAACTGTCCTTGCACTCATCATCCAGTGCTTTGCAGGGATAGTGCAACCCCTATGTCCAATGCAGTCAACATCTCTTGTTACCGGTTTATGTCAGACATTCACGGCCTGTCTGTCAACTTTTTCACCTAGAAAATATTCAGTCAATTCATTTTACAGGATATTCTGTATAGCATTTTGAAACATCTAAACGATAAGGCGTTGTTTAAAATTATTTTATTATTAGATTATAATCTCTCTGAGCTCCAGTAGAATCTTCCCATCATTGTTTCCTTTCTTCTCCTTCTCTCCTTTGTCTCTAAATCTATGTAAAATACATTGGATGAAAAATGTGACTTAAGAAGTGATAATTATCATCGGTGAGGTAGGGAGCAATTTGGACACTGGGGAATATCCTACTAAATTATCAACAAGTTAATTATCACATCATAGGACTTTCCTGTGGAGTCCTGTAACTTAGTGGAGAGACCCTGGTTCGATTCCCGGGCAGGGCGTAACATTGGCAAATTTCCTTACTCCACACGCCTTTGTTTACCTAGCAGCAAATAGGAACCTGGCTGTTCGTAGATTGGTGAACTGCTTTTCCAGGGGTTATAATCCCTTAAAACAAAATTATGTCACTCAATCCACGATTGTTTGTGGGATACTGCTGTTCACAATTGCCTGACATGATTTGGCCACAAAACACCAGAGTAAATTCACTTTACAGCATATTCTGTGAAGCGCTTTGAGACGTCTAGATGTGATAAAGCGCTATATCAAATACAAGGATTATTATTATTATTTCCACTCTGGGTGATGTACAGTGGATGACGACTTCAGACACTGTCGGGACCCCATCCTCCTGTGAAAATGATTGCGCTCAAAGGCACTTGAAATGGTTATTAGGTTAGTTGTTGTGGCCATTAAACAGATTTCACCGTCTGTTCACAGATTATTGGCTCTCTCAACTTTTTTTAAAAAAAGGCATCAAAACTGCACCAAACTCCTTTCAACAATCTTAACTTCACTTAAATTTTGACCAGGATCCAAAACATAAGGTATCGCATCTTTTCCCATCCATGGCTATTCCACTCCCCCCACTGATACTCAATATGTTGGATGTTAATTGACTAATGATGCTTCGCAACCAAAGATGCTGTGCTCCATAGTTGATAATGTTTTGCTGCCATCCATAGTTGTAGAGCTGCTGCTTGTTTGTAGCCCTAGTTAAACTCCACACTTGTTTTTATGTCTAACACAATTATGCAAGGAAAGGACTCCTGTCACAAAGATATATTCAGCAGAGAAGAGTGGAACATTATTAAGGTTTAGATTTGGGACAGTTCTACACCCAATCTGCTCTTATCAGTAATAACAACAACTAACACACGTGCGTTTCAACATTTCAATATTTTCTTATCAACTGAGAATGAACAACAACAAAAAATTACATTTGTATAGCGCCTTTCTCGTCGGGAAGAAGTCCCACAGTGCTGGACAGTCAGAATTTGGACTAACAAAATAAGGCTGGCAATAGTGCTCAGAATTAACACCAATCTAGAAAAATGTGCCCATTCCAACTTAAAACGCACAAATGTATTTTAAGTAAAAGAGTTAACTAATCCATAAGTGTTATCGAGTCTCTTACATGACTCTTTTGGAAACATTTCTATAATCCAAGTGTTACTGGGGAGAAATATATTTCCAGTGAATAGGATATCAGTTGATTCTGTAATCCTTCTAATTGGTTGTCATTTATATAACTGAAGGCATCTGCAAATCCTCTGCACATAGTTTTCACAACTTGCAAATGACCCCCATACAGAAATTACTCATTAGAGTTACAACTAATAAAGAACTGCATAAATGATACTAAAATCTCCTGATGTTGAAAGGTCTAATTTGTCCATTGACAAAATTATTCACTACACTTTTCCACCTATATAACATACAAATGTATGTATTTTATGTAGAATACTTGACTCGCAAGCAAGAGGACCTGGGTTCAATTCCAGGGCAGGATGAAACGTTGGGCAAGTTACCTTACTCACACGCCTCTGTATACCTAGCAGGAACCCGGTTGTTAGTCGATTGGAGGATTGATTTTCCGGGGGTAATAACCGCTTCCAATTTTTTTTTAAAACAAAATAATAATTTGGCCACTCAATCCATTATTTTTAGACAATTTGTGGGACACTGCTGTGCGCAATTGGCTGCTGCATTCTGCCCACAAAATATACAGTCAACTCACTTTACAGAATATTCTGTGAAGCGCTTTGAGACATCTCAAATATGTGATAAGGCGCTATATCAAATGCAAGGATTATTATTATTATAAATAATCATAGTACAGTGCAATCAAAGGCATTTTTACTCTTTAAAAAAAAGTGAGAAAACATTACTAGATAATAGTTTTCAAATACAATCCTAATCTATTCCTGACCTTCCATTTTAACATCTTTTCTTGCTGGCTTCTTTGCACTGTTCAAGTAGGAATGTCACAGGTTTGGTAATGAGAGTTACTGGGGGAATCCAGCTTATTGAGGGTTATTCATACAGAGGAACAAATGCTGAACTTTACTAACGTTCTTCTTAATCGAAATCTAAGCTTTTTGGCGAAACTTCCTGCTTCACTTCCTGATCTAAAATAGGATTGTTCTGCAAACCGAAAATGTTCTTTAAAAGTGACATTGCTCTCAAACTTATTTGCCTTTGCCATGACATTATTAAAATTAATAAATAATCATTACACTTCACATAGCTCTGTTCATGTCAGGAGGACGTTTCATAGGATTTTATGGCAGGATATAGTGACCATGTATTTTTGAGACTCATCCAAATGTCAGCACCTCCAACAATGGAGTGTCAGCCTAAATTGTATGAGTTCAAAGCGCCAATATGGGGTTTGAAGCCCACAATTTTTTGACTCAGAGGCAAAAATGATTACTATTCACTTTATAATAGCTATGAAAGAGCACAATAATATTCCAATCAATAGTTTAATATTGGATTTGATTATTAAACAAATGGAAAAAATGACTTTACCTTATGAAAAATAAAATGTTTGGATAATGTGAGAAGCAAAGGGCTACGAGTCTGTGGAATTAAATGTTGAAGGGGTTATAGCCCCCAGATAAGTGATCAGCCAATTGACTAACAACCAGGTTCCTACTTACTGCAGGGTAAACAGAGATATGTGGAGCAAGGAAACTTGCCTAAAGTTTTGCCCTGCCTGGGAATCAAACCTGGGTCCTCTCGTTTTTTTTTGGATTCAGACTATAGACGATGCCTTGGCCAGTGAAACCAAGCAAAAAGGACAGAATTGAGGGATTTGATACCCTCACACTATTACAGTAAGCATATAAGCCAAACAATGTGAGAACCAATTACAATGATCTCTATTAGAAAGCGAGTATTAAAAAAATTAAAAATTGATGCAGTGAAATGTTTTCTCATTTAACTAGCAATTATAATTTTTTTTAAAAATCGAAAGCAATTTAATTTTGGGACACACAGCAAAAAGTGGATTTGTATTAAAAGTTGATTTAAAAGAAGAATTCCCATCACCCTACCACTGCTCCCATATCTATTCTCGAATTACCATGACTCTTTCTAAAGCCAGTTTCCATGAAAAAGGCAAAATAATTTGGATTTCCTTCCCCCACAGATCCTGCATTCATTCTGCTCTCAAATAAATTGTACATATCAATCCTAGGGAACAGTCATGATGTGAAATTAATGCAACAGTACATACTGGCAGCAGCCAGCTTAGCTCACAATGGGATTCACATCTCCCACAATGATCGGTACACACATACACTTTTATTACACTCAGCCAGCTGTGATTTATGTAGCCGAGATTTTCTAAAGAGTTTTCAATGTGCAAGTTATTCATTTGTTTGCAAACAGAATTTAGCAACATTTTTATAAAACGAATGAGCTTAAGTAGGAACGTGCAAGTAAACTGGCTCTGGAAGCATTTTTGCCAGTTTAGGATGCGCCTTCTTTGCTTATTTGCCGTGTTTTGTTCACAAAATATACAGTCAATTCACTTTACAATATATTCTGTGAAGCGCTTTGAGACAACTCGAAGACGTGATAAGGCGCAGTATCAAATGCAAAGATTATTACTATCATTATTTATAACACATGGGGTTGTCGCGACAGAACTCGGATTGTCATTGATTTTAGCTCTGAGTTGTTTATTCGTTGCTGCGATTTAGCTGAATGTTTTTTCGGAAACTTTTGGAGGACAACAACAACATCAAAAAAAGGAATTCCATCTGGATTTTAACATGGAAAGTCCATAGTCACTGTCCACACCAACTACTTTTTAAGTTCCCTCCGCAGGTACAGCAAAATGCAGACGCTTACCATAGTTTTGAGCTGGCTCACGTCTGTAAGGATCATTGACTTTGTCTGGATGAGACGGTCACAGTTAGCAGCTACGCTCTTCACTCTCCGCTGCACAGGGACAGGAGTGAACTGGGACTGGGGCAAACATTCGTTTGAGGAGGTTCGCTGCACGTTTGATTTTGGTCCATCTGAGGAATGTTCCTGCAAAAAGGAGGAAAATAAATACAGCTTTAAAAGATCATAGAGTTATACAACACAAAAGGAGGCCATTCGGCCCACAGTGCCTGTGCCGGCTCTTTGAAAAGAGCTATCCAATTCATCCCACTCCCCCACGTTCTCCCCATAGCCCTGGAAACTTGTCCTCCCCAAATAATTATCTACTTCTCTCTTAAAAGTTGTTATCGAATTCGCTTCCACCACCGTTTCAGGCAATGCATTCCAGATCTGAACAACTCGCTGTGTGAAAACATTTCTCCTTAGCTCCCCTCTGTTTCTTTTAACAGCTATTTTAAATATAACGAATAGATGTAATGAATTTCATTTATAAAGTCATTATCTGAATCATAATAAAATGATCATAATCCCTTGCATTTGATACACGCCTTGCCACAAAGTCAAGACATCTCAAAGAGCTGTACGGACATACAGCACTGTACACTTTATTTAGGATTGGCCAGGACACATTGGTAGAAACACCTTCTCTTTTCAAATAGTGCCATGGGATCTTTAACGTACATCTGAACGTGCAGATGAGACCTTGGTTTTAACATCTCATCCGAACGACTTCACCTTCAAAAATACACACACCGACAGCACTGCTTTGGAGTGTCAGCCAAGACTGCGAGTTCAAAGTCCTAACGTGGGGCTTGAACCCACAATTTTCGCACTCTGATTTGAAAGTGCTATCAATTGAGCCAGGCTGATTATCTGAATACCTTTCATGTTTCAGTGCTGTTAAGACTAGCTCATAGATCTTGCAATCATACTGGCAGGTGAGTATCAAGTGAAATCTGTGAAGCATTGTGAAACGTGACTTAATCCCACGCCTCCTCCCAATATTTTTTTCCATACATTCAGTCCTCATACAGTCGAAATATAGATAGAGAACTAACATTACCATAGATGTTTCTTATGGTATCTGCACTTTGAAATGGGGCACATTCACCAAGCTTCTTGTCATAAGTGAAACTGCTCTTTAATCTAATGACCCAGTTTTGATGCCAGGTACACTGGAAATGTTAAGCTATCTTTTTCTGTGGTAGTGGTAGGATTTCCCTAACACTATAAAGTGGGTAGGAACCACAACATTGACTTGAGAAACGAAATACAGGGCAATCCGATTGGAATTAACTTTTGTTTTCTCAACAGCAGCACTAACTGGGGATAATAATAATAATAATAATAATAATAATAATAATAATAATAATAATGATCAGATAGTAGCTGGGAACACTCAGCAGGTCAGGCAGCATCTATGGAGAAAGAAAAGTGAGTCAACGTTTTGGGTCCACGACCCTTCGTCAGAACTGGGGCATGTTGGGAGAGAGAGGCTTTCAAGGGCTAACAGAGAGGGGGGAGGCAGGGCATGGAAGACAAATGGGATAGAGGACAGGGGATGATGGCTTAAAGCGGTGTTAATGATGCAGAACAAAGTGGGGGGGAATTGCAACAAAACAGGCAGACCAGAGAGAGCAAAGGTGTGTCCGGGAACCAGGTGGTGTGGTAATGGTCACAGAAGAGGGGCAGGGGGAAGGTGAGATTTTATGGCCTGAGATTATTGAAATCAATATTGAGGCCAGAGGGCTGTAAGGTCCCTAGCAGATAGATGAGGCGCTGTTCCTCAGCTGAGTGTTCCCAGCGACTTCTGTTTTTGTTCCAGATTTGCAGCATGTGCAGTATTTTGCATTTTGTTAAGAATAGTAATAGTAATCCTTGCATTTGATATAGCACCTTATCACATCTTCGAGACGTCTGAAAGCACTTCAAAGAATATACTGCAAAGTGAATTGACTGTGTATTGTGTGGGCGAAACGTGACAACCGATTGTGTACCACAAGCAGTTGTGGATTGAATGACCAAATCATTATTATCTCTCTTTGAAAGGATTATTACCCCCGGAAAAGTGAAAAGAGATCCGCCAATCGAATGACAACCGGGTTCCTACTTACTGCTAGGTAAACAGAGGCGTGTGGAGTAAGGAAACTTGCCCAACATTTCACCCCACCTGGGTATCGAACTCAGGTCCTCTCGCTTGTGAGGCGAGTGCTCTAAACACTGAGCTACAGGACTCCACAAACATGGCACAGCCAGCTTCCCACACATTAAAAAAAGGCTAACTTCCAGGTCAATGCAGATGTCACTTCCTACATGCTGAGCCATGGCGTTATCCATATCGACAGGTGTCAGTCACTCCCTGGTCAATTGTTTGAGTTCCCATTCTTCACGTATGAGCCAGTAGAGTCAATGTTAGCACGAGATGTGATTGAAAGAATTTCTCAAGCAATGCTCTGCTCCACACTCTGCTATGAATACCTTTATTCATGACAACTAGCATTTATATAACACCCTTCGCTCTAGAAGCGTCTTTAGCGTCTTTAGCATCTCATATAGAGTGACCTGCTTGGCAAACATATAATGATAATAGAAAAATAATAATAATCTTGCATTTGATATAGCGCCTCATCATGTCTTCGAGACGTCTCCGAGCGCTTCACAGAATATACTGTAAAGTGAATTGACCGTATATTTTGTGGGCGAAACGCGGCAGCCAATTGCGCACAGCAGCGTCCCACAAACAGTCGTGGATTCAGTGACCAAATTCTAATTTTGATTCATACAGTCAATTCACTTTACAGTATATTCTGTGAGGAGCTTTGAGACATCTCGAAGACATGATTCGGCGCTAGAATCAAATGCAAGGATTTTTATTATTATTTTGTTCAGATTACCAAGAACCATTATGCAGCCCATTTTTGAATGAAACAGTAGTGTAACTCTTACAAGTAAAGTGGAAGTGATGTTGTGGAACTCAGCAGGGTGAATTTGACACGCAATTTTGTAGTGACCTCTGGCAGCACTATGAAACTAACCAATGCAGTGTCCAAAACAAAAAGGGCTCACTTCACAAGCATACAGCTTCTGCAAGAAGGGATTGTCTGAGGTTGGGATGGGGAAGGACATATTAGTTTGTGGCAATATGACAGCTAAGGACGGCCGTAGTCTTTTGCTGCTTATGACCCAGGAATTCTTAAAAACGGCTGTTGGATTCAATGTAAGTAGTCTTCAGTCTTCAAGCACCAACAGAAAGAATGAAGTGAGATCGAGAACCAGCAGTTCCCCTATTTCACTTTGCCAAAAGGGAAATAACCCAAAGGTTTTTTTTTACTCTTAAGTGGAAGAACGGAAAAAAACGCCTTCTGATTGCCAACAGCAAGTGCAGCCCACCCATTTAACGAGCTCTCCAGCCCTTCTCCTTAACCCGAACAGCCTGAGAGTTGTACTAAAACGTAATGTGCAAAATTATAACACTCACAATGGAGCGGAGATCTGTGAGGATGTAATATTTAGTTGCAACAAAAATTGTCACATCGCACAGCGCATTGTGTTGTATTTCACCCTTGGTGTTAATCTGCAAATTGTGCACAACCCAACACGTATTCTGGATTATAGAAAGACACGAGTGACTTTATATTTTGTGGGCGAAACGCGGCAGCCAATTATGCACGGAAATGTCCCACAAACAGTCATGGATTGAATGACCAAATTATTATTATACTTCTTTTTTATTGAAGGGATTATTACCCCCGGAAAAGCGATATGTCAATCGACTAACAACCGGGTTCCTACTTACTGCTGGATAAACAGAGTTGTGTGGAGTGAGGAAACTTGCCCAACGCTTCGCCCTGCCGGGAATCGAACCCAGGTCTCTCGCTCGCGAAGCAAATGCTCTAACTGATAGGCTACAGGACTCAACGGAACTGGAGGAACTGAGTTGGAAGTATTAGTGACTATGCTGACCCATAGATAAAGACATAACAATACCAAAGCATCATCAATTGTATGTGATACTATATATATATATACTATTTAATATGAATTGGAATTTAAAATAAAAAGTGCATTGAAAAGCACTAATTGCCCTTGTTAGATTCTGTTTTCAGAGTTTGTTTCAGGATACTGAATTTGTCTAAAAATGTAAGCGTATGTTCTTCAATAAGCAGAGATTAATTTTATAATGATTTTAAAAGAATAAAATACTTCCAACAAATACCCAAGGTTTCAGAGCAATCCTACCTGGCACTGAACAGCCAGTTAATAAATACTGGGCTTCTATTCACTGAGTCAACACAATTTACAGTGTAGAGGCATAATTTATGGTGCATCATCACCTGCCAGGGACAATAGTAACAAAGGACAAGACAAATATATCTTAGAGCACAAGCTGCATATTTTAGTGCAAATCAGAGGTCAAAAGTTGAACTTTTGTACTAATAACATTCGTAAATACCTATGTATTGTGACAGGCCTCGAATTTAATATTTTTCAGAGGCAGCACAGTTTTTGCTCCCGGGGCTAGAACTGTCATGAAAAAATTTCCATTTCCACCAGAGACAAACTAATCAGCATTAAAGTAAGACTGACATCCTGGATGACAGTAGGAACTATCACTGCGAATCTGATACACTGCTGCAAACATTTTGCTTGTGGCTGGTTTAATAACCAGCAAAACTGTAAAAAACCACTAGCTTTTTTGCTGATCTGGAAGCATCGAATTTGACCTCTTTCATGACTGCGTTCGAAAATTGTTGCTCTAGCAATCACCAGTAAACATAACACATAACTATTCAGCACTGAATTTCTTTGGGCAACTTTTATTTCTGTTGGACACAAGTAAGCGCTCTGAGACGCTACCTCACCTGAAGGGCGCTGTATAATTGCAAGTTGTTGTTGTTCAACTAAGAAATGACTTGAAGACTGTAGCAAAGTTTGTAGTGATATTTTTTAACAATTATTTTTGTAAAACGATTTATGCTTTAAGTTGGGAATGAGTGCCATGCAAGACAACTACTTCAAGTAAGGCCACGATTGAAGTGGTCGAAATTTATAAATAGTTGTTACACATCTTAACTGGGCACTGTTCAAGCCCTGAGTATCCTCTCCACTCTAATAATAATTTGATATAGCGCCTTGTACACATCTTCGAGACGTCTCAAAGCGCTTCACAGAATATACTATAAAGTGAATTGACTGTATATTTTGTGGGCAAAATGTGGTAGCCCATTGCGTAGAGCAGTGCCCCACAAACAATCGTGGATTGAGTGACCAGATTATATTTTTTNGAAGGGATTATTACCCCCGGAATGTAGAAAGCAATCCGCCAATCAACTAACAACCGGGTTCCTATCTACTGCGAGGTTAAACAGAGGCGTGAGGAATAAGGAAACTTGCCCAACATTTTGCGCTGCCTGGGAATCAAACCCAGGTCCTGTCACTTACAAGGCAAGTGCTCTCACCACGACTCTACAGGACAACTTTTGATATTTTATTCTTGTTTGCAAACATGAAAACAATTTATTGCTAATAACGGTCTGCCTTTTTGCGAGTATAACGTGGAATTGCTGAGGGATTACTTTTAGCTCAGAATTTCCCCACGAGCAATGAAAGGAACGCAGCTCAAAAGAATTAACGCCAGTCTTGTTCTTTCTCGTGCAATAATCACAATGACCACAAGATAGCAGTATAGGATGGAAGTTGCAAACTGAACACCTATCTCTAAATAACCAGCAGAGGGAGAAAATGGACTGCAAAACAAAGGAACATATTCATAATATGAACACTTTTCAATAGGACTTATTCAGGTTTTGATTTGATATGGATAAGCATGGATAAGGATTCACAAGCATCCTTATGTAGCCATCAATGAAAACCTAAGGGATTTTACGAATTGAAGACAAGACAACTGGCAGAATAGATTTGTGAACTATAAGAATAATCCTTATTTTTAGAATACTGCCTTTCACTAAAAAAAGGACACCTCAAAACACTTCACAGGATTTATTTAAAGTCTAGTTACCCTGCATGTTCAAGGCAAATGCTTACGTTAATCACAGAATGACAACTAGCCTTCCAAAGCCAATTCAGATCAAGGTCCTGCATATCATGATCTCTTCATCCTGAATCAACTTCACTTTGGATCCAACTAAGAGTTTAGAAATCTGGACTACGACATTACAACAAATACAGGGTGACCAAAACTTTGAAATATTATTACATTGTCTAATAAGTCTTAAAGAAATGATGATATGTGTTTTTTTAGATAATAGAGTAGCTGAAAAATTTAATAAGAACATAACAACATAAAGTCTGTTCTTTGGATTTTGGATTTTCGGATTTTTTATGCACTGAACACTATCTTTGAAGAAATAAAATAATTATTATTAAAATAAATGGTATCACAACTTTTTGATCACCCTGTACAACAGCACTCATTAGGAATAATCCTCACTATTGCGGCTATTGACACAGCTAAAAAAAGTTTCTCAGATTGTAGCAAAGTGTGTTGTCTGCCAATAGCTGCAAGATTCTGAATTATTTAAGCTTTATCAGTTTTTATTTGCATAAAACACGTCAGTCAAAGCTACCCACAACTTAAGGCTTCCGATCTACAAAAGCTATCTTTCTTCCCAGCTTTAAGAATTATGACTGAGTAGGCTGTTTTAAATTCAGACTGAATTACGACAGGCCAGAGGATGTCTGAATGGTCTGTGCATCTGTAGCCAAGTGCATTTGAGCCAAGTCAGTATGTGTGATCTTGTAAGTGGGCGCACTTACGTGTGTCCAGAAATCAGAGTCCTTCAATTGCTGACTAATCAAAGTAATTGATCAGAGTGATTCAATTCCACGTCCCCTGCCTTGCTCGCCCTACCATTGGCGGTTGGGCCTTCTGTCACTTTGCCTCCACCCTTTGGAACTCTATCCCGCAGTCCCTCCACCTCGCCCCCTCCCTTGCCTCCTTTGAGACCATCTCAAAACCCTCCTGTTCGACCATGCCATTTATCATCCTCCTTCCCCCCCCCATGCCCTTCACCCTTCCCAATCCTGACACCCAGCTCGGGACCGAAACATTGATTGTCCAGCACCTTGAGACGTCCTCCAGACGTGAAAGGCACTATACAAATGTAATTTTGTTGTTGAAGGAAGATAGCTTGTTCTCAATTAGATATTGGATCTTGTGATATGTGGTTACTAAGTGTAGACAAAAGGCCCAGATGTGAAACAAGCCCGTATCATCTACACATTTGGGCACTTAAATAGTTTTAAGCTCTCTGGGATGTTACCCCTCGTGAAGGACCTGTATACGTGCAAGTTGTTGTTGTTTTAATGTCTCAGAACTGCTGGCAACAGTCAACTAGGATTCTCACTGTGTTGTCTGAATTCTTTATTAAGGGTCAAAATTAAAAAATATGATGTCCTGAGAAAATTTTAACCTTGATTATAGTTGAAGCAGAATATAAGGAGCAATAATCAGCAATTAGGATCTCAACCTCAATTCTTTCACCAAAGGGGAACGTGAGTCAGATGCAGACACTTAAATCAGAACAATATTAGCTCCCAATTACTTGAACGTATTTGTTGACAAATGAACGACTTGAATCACTTTTTCTTGTGATTGCATCTGTCGTTGGATGACAAGAGTTCTCTTCAATCACAGTGAGGAAGACAGAAAAGAAAATCAACCGTTGCAACACAATGTCATCAATGTGCAGCTATCTTTAGTCTCTAACTGGCGACATTGATGATGTTAATATCAAGGATCGTTATCAGTCTCCTTACCTGTGCTACAATCAACATTCCAGAGAGCAAGAAGGTCATAAGGAATTTTGATTCAAGTGGACTTCGTTTCTGGCCACTTTTATCACCGTGACAGTAAATTGAGATGGATACACAGTAATAGTTTCAGAGAAGTGAATCATGGATCCATCTAGGCCTCATATAGGACTCCCACTAAACATCCCTTTGACACATCATCTTAACGTTTCACAACCCGGGATTGTTTTAAGAAAAATTATTTACATTTTATCATGTTGAAACATCTTAAAGTGCTTTATAGTAATTATCATCAGGAGGAGTTGTGGCCTCCAAAAAGGAATTGGATAGGCAATTGAAAAGGAAAAAAATCCTGGGCTATGGGCTACGAGTGGGAGAAGCGGGACTAGTTGGAAATAATCTTTCAGAGAGACGGCACAGGCATGATGGACTGAATGGCCTCCTTCTGTGCTGTAAGATTCTACGAGGAATTTACTTTTATAGACCATTTTGCAAGGCAAGGCCTCACAAAATGAGTTGAACTATCTATTTTATCTGGAGAATTGTTGTAATTTACAGGAATTTGTCCAGGACCTTGTTGAAACAGCAACAACTTGCAGTTATATAATGCCCTTCACACAGGGTAGTGTCTTGAAGGCAATCATTTGGAGTTCCTTATTGCACTAACTGTGCTGGTAAGGGTGTTCCACATACTAATTACTCTTTTACTGCTCTTTCTATTCAATTTCATTGTCCATATTTTGAAGCTATTGCCCTTTGTTTGAGTTATCTATGAGGCAGAACAATTTAACATGATATTCAAATCAACTTACACATTAATACGATACTCAGAAGATACATGTCACAGTCGAGCGCTTGCTATAAAATGAAAGCAAGCTCCAAGAGAAGGGTTAGGTTACACGCCGAAGAAAAGAGTGCAGGAACACCTCTTATCACTGGGAAGCAGTGTAGCCAAAGAAAAACAAAAGGTATAAGTCCAACAGTTGTTTTCAATTTGTATTTTCATCAACCACAGCAACAACAAATTACATTTGTATAGCGCCTTTCACATCGGGAGGACATTCCAAAGCCCTGGGCAGTCAAGACTGTGCATCCAATCTGGGGTTTGGGACGAGGATGGGAAAAAAATTCAATCGGCTTAATTTTTTTTACTGAAGTTAATTATCTAAAATCGTCAGTATGCTATTAAACTCTGAATATGCATATCATTCGGAATATAATGTTTAGATTTCTGGAAGATGATTTGGTCATGTCTCTGTACACTTTGGTGATTTTGAAGATAATCCCGTGATGTAATACCACATTTTAGGTATAGTTTTGAAGCTAGAGTTAAAACCATTACTTACTAGCGTATGTACATCTTTGTCAATATCATATGCAATCAACAACAACCAAAACTTGTATTTAGAAATCACCCTTCACATAGGGTAGTGTCCCGGAATGCTTGAATTCAATCATAATCATTAAGCATCTTGAAGGAGGAAAATGATTTTTTGCCTCCATTAAGGCCCATCTCAAGACCCTCCTCTTCAACCGCAACTTCAGTGATCCTCCTGCCTCTACCCTCCTTGCCCTCCACCCCCCCTGATTTCAATCCCACCTGATCTCAACCCACTGCTCGGAAATCCCTGATTGTCAAGCACCTGGGGACATCCTTCCTAAATGTAATGTGCTGCTGTTGTTGTTTACCATTCATAGAATTGACAAATAGAAAAATCTATCCCTCAGACAAGACATTAAACCAAAGTCTGACTGTTCCGCTGAATGTTAAAGATCCCATTGCACTACTCAAAGACTCTAGATCTGATAAAATGTCCAATTTTACAAGGTGTTTGGTCAGACTCCATTACACTGATAAAAACCCTATCTTTCTGAATAGGTTATACCATGAGTCACACCGTTCTCACTCTTCTTTCAAGAAAAGTTAATCTTCCTACCTTTAGGTCTTCCGTTTCCTGAAAACGCCTCGGTGGTTTCCATGTCTTCTCCTTCGTGGTGGTATTAATGTAGAATTTACGACCTGAATTTTCATCTAATGGACCTCCCACATATCCATGTAGTGGAGTGGAGGTCTCGTAGGATTCGGAGGATCCAGTCTCACTCTTTACTGTGAATCCAAATACGGGCTGGTGGGTGTGTAGCAAAGTTCAGTCGACAAGATCTATAAATAAAATAGCTCAGGTTATCTTTCATTACAAGCCGCATGGTTTCCTGTATTCTGAAATACCCTCAATGACTGTATGTTTATTCACAAGATTTTATTTTAGATTTATTGTTCACACTTCTGGCTGGAAGTTCATTGTACTTTTGACTTGCTACTTTACGAAGTAATTTGCGATAGCTTTGAAATTCAACAAAGTATGCAGCACAACAAGGCTAAAGTTACAACAACATCTATAATGACAACAATAATAATAATAATCCTTGCATTTGACATAACGCTTTTTACGTCTTCTCAACATCTCAAAACGCTTCACAGAATAGACTGTAAAGTGAATTAACCGTATATTTGTGGACATCTTGCATTTATATAGCTGCCTTCAGACTGGATGGAGTCTCAGAGCACTTAAAGTTACCTACATTATCTGATAAAGCATGCAAAGTGCTGAGAAAGAGTTTCTTTATTTTGATGGCTTATTTTAGAGCACACTAAACTCTACGGATTCAAGTCGGCCATCAAAAAGGAAAGAAGCCTTACGAAACATATATTGCAATCAAACTATTACTTGCGATAGATGCTTCTAAGGAAGCTTGAGGGAGATTGAATAGGTTAAGCTCTTTCGACTTATGGTTGGCTTCTGCCACATAGTTAATATGGGGTGTAAAGTAACAGATTCGATGAGATAATTATCACTTTATTGGTGATTGTACTCTTTGTGAAGGTGCCCTGGTGATTGTGACATTTCACTAACTTTTTGTAGATAAACAGCTTTATAAAAAGTTAATTTAAGTGGTATTCTGCTCACTGATGATGAAATGAATGATCTGGTGCAGTTACTCCAAAATCATATTGGCCTGTCAAGAAGCAGCCCCCTGAACATTCACACTAGTCCAGGTACGTCCGTGTTCAGTCAGTAGTGTGTTTCCAGGCTTTTCCTGACTGAATATTCCATGATTCATGGCAGAAATCAAGAAATATTCAATCAAGAAAACTTACTCCATTGGCCGACCAAAAAGGTTGGCCATCGCTCTTTTAGGAACAAGACTACCAAATACAGACTGCAACATTTAGGACAGACACCAGGAAGTATTTCTTTAATAATGCCTGGAGCAGGTCACCAGGAAAGTTGTTTGAGGCCAAGATGTTGAATTCATTTTGAAACGCCCCCCACCTCACAATGTGATGCTGTGATAGGATATACATGCTGTTTACATTCCCACAACCCTAGGATGGATATTCTGTAAGGGTAAGATCAAATGGGCTGAAAGGGCTTTCTTCATCTGAACCACTTTCGTGATCTTGTGAAAAGTGCAGATTCATTTTGTTACTGCTTCAAGGCAATGAACCACCAGTTTTCTTTCAAATAAATGATTTTGCTTGTGTCTGTTTATTCACAAAAACAATTATTTCTATCAGCGATCGATGAGCCAGATCACTGCGTTTCATTGTCAATGAGCAGAATACATTAACTTTTTATGAAGCCGTTTTATTTGTCAGTGAAATGTCACAATCACCAAGGCAACAAGTACGAGTGTTTTTAAGAAAGTGTTGATTCTTTCCAAAAAAAATTAGATAGCTTTATTTTAGGAAATAATATTGTGGGATACAGTGTATAGTTTGGGATATGACGTGTGCCTATGATTACCAGGATGGTGAAAGGCGAACTAGATGGATTTTAACCTTCTTTCATCTAGCAATTTTTATGTTCTTGTGATCAACTGGCACCTTCACGAGGAGAGGGGGTGTCAATGTGCTTTGGAAAAGTTTCTCTATTTTGATGGCTTATTTTAGCCACAAAACATACAGTCAATTCACTTTACAGTATATTCTGTGAAGCGCTTTGAGACGTCTCGAAGACATGATAAGGCGCTCTATCAAATGCACAGATTATTATTATTATAATAGGTTTGTGCACAAATTAAAGAGCTGTATTAATATTATAGTTAAGACTTGGATCACAAACCACAATTTTGTTCACTTCAATTCACCTGCTTCAATTTCGCCAATATTGAATGATGTGCACGACATATATATAGAGTCCAAAAGCTCTTCATACGTACTGCTAGCGCCCCTTCAGGCTTGGAAATGCCATTACAGCAAGTTAGTCAGAATTATTAGTTACGGATTTACATTTTCAATCAAACTGTTCGCAGCAGCAGGCAAGATTTGTTCTGACATGTTTTGACATAAACATCACAGCGCATTCAAATTGGGAGCCATTGTGACATTGGTGCCTCAGTCACATCATCTGGGATATTGTTGGGGAAACAACAATTCATCGAAAACATACAGTGTTTGACATTATCTAGTGTCATAACAGCAGGGTGGTGTTGAGATCTTTTCATGTCCATTTGCATGATGCAAGCTTGATTTGAACAGGCTGAAATGTGTCAGTGAAGGCCCATTGGGCCTTTGACATGAAGAATAACTCAACGCTCCAAATAGCAGAAGTTCTTTTTCACACCAGCACTTCACCCGTCCTTGCCTAATCACTACCCTTAATTTTATTTTGAATCTTTCTTTTCTAAGAGGTCCAATTACCACTAATTGTTTCTGTTCATTTGTAACGTCCATCAAAAGTTAACTTGGTTGAATTTTCAAACAATGCAAAGCAGGAAGCTTTTGTTAAACTTTTAAATTAGTAAATTGAAGGCATTTTATACCCTGTGCAGCTTACAATCTGCTTAAAGTTGGAAATGAGTCAGATTTGCCAATTCCTGCTTCCCCACAGTTACGCTTATCTGAACTGGCCATTTTGAAATTGATTTGTGGTGAGTGGTTTTGAGGGTAAGGGATGCTAATCTTGGATAGAGGAACGTTGGTACTGTAAATGAGGCAGAGTACATGCCAGATGTAAAGTAAAAATTCTACCAAAATCAACGTAATTCCTCCACACCTTCCCCCACATACTCACACAAACACACGCAAACGGTAGTGTATACTTGAGATGGATTCCCAACAAAATCAATTGATACCTATTAGCTTCCATCAATAAAGAACTGAATAGGTTAACTACAAACTTGAAGGTTTTAGTGCATCTACTGAGCTGAGAAAGTCCTGTATTATAATAATAATATAACAATCCTTGCATTTTATATATAAAAACATATATAATTATATAATTTGTGATTCTCTCAAAATGACTAAATTCAATAATTGACAAGGTGCAAAAAAAAGACCAGAAGGCCAAATGCAAATAATAATAATAATGATCCTTGCATTTTATATAGCGCTTTTCACGTCTTTTAAACGTCTCAAAGCGCTTCACAGCATATACTGTAAAGTGAATTGACTGTATATTTGTGGGCGAAACGTGGATTGAGTGACCAAATTATCCTTTTTTTTCCAATTTGTTTTTTTGAAGGGATTATTAATCCTGGAAAAGCAATCCGTCAATGGACTAACAATCGGGTTCTTGTTTACTGCTAGGTAAACAGAGACATGTGGAGTAAGGAAACTTGCCTAACATTTCGCCCTGTCAAACCCAAGCCCTCTCACTTGTGTCTATGGAACACCATTGACATTACGATGCAGATGTACCCACACTTACTGCCAGAAGATTAAGTAGATGATGTGGTAAGGTTTTGGTGGCAGAAACAAGCTTGATGGTGGATTTTGTTTTCTCTCTCACGCTACGCTTTCTTGTGAAAGCCACCAAAATAGGATGGGAGGAAGCAGCGATAAGGTGTGTGCGTGTGACTCACGTTTGAGTCAATTGAAAGGCAGTGCAATCTAGCTCTGTGTGAGTGTCCTAAATTTAATTCCAAGTTTTTAAGTGTGTCTCTCACGTAATATCAACTCAAGACTTTTTCTTTTTAATACATCATTACCAATCCTTGCAGTTATAAATTATCCAGGCTTTTTCATTGTCTGACTTATTTTAATTTTTAACCTCAAAGTCACTTGTCTGCGTTCTTACTTCACACTATTTTACTATTTTATATATAGAGAGACGAACACACACTCACATACAAAGTTTACTCACAGAGAGGAACACTTTTCCTACTATGAAATGATGCAGATTTGTTTATTTCAGGATCACACTGAAATACTGAACTCAAAATTAGCATTTTAACTTGTCAATGACCCGTAACTTGGTTCATATTTTGTCATACTGGTTAATGGCTGAAAATAGTATGTTCTGACTGAAAATGGGGCTTTAAAATCTATTTTCTGCCATTGATCTTCATGAAAAAATATTGCTAGCAATTGGATACCGTGTAAATTTACCAATTACAGTTATTTATAAGTTCGACATAAAACTTTGAATAACACAAAACAAACAATGAATAGAAATGATATATAAGAAACTGCCAAGTGTTCAATGATAACAAGTTTCCGTTGGATATAGCATCTTGTCACATTGTTGAAGACATTTTCAAAACATTCACAAAATTGTACTGTAAAGCATAACGACTCTATTTGTAAGGCAAACATTCCCCTCCCCTCCCTTCCTCCCCCAACCCCAGCTCCGGTCTGAAATACTGTACTCTATTCAGGGCCTTGGGACATCCTCCTGACGTGAAAGGCGCTATACAAATGTAATCTTGTTGTTGTGGCAGCCAAATCAGACACAGTAATACCGTGAAATGAATAATCAATTTTATTTGGGGGTTTGCTGGGCGGGACACCGGGCGTACCCCCATTCTTAACGACAATATCCTTTCTTTAACAAAAATAGAAAGCGGTTTGTTCCTCTTCTCTATTCACCTCATCCAGTCTGGAGAATCAGGTAAAGGTTCTCTACAATCACTGCCAATGATGCCACTCTGTAATGATTAGGTTCCATTGACTGAGGGAGGACCAAGGTAAGTTAATTTTTCCTTTGAGATGAATACTTCTTCTCTGCACTCCATCTCACACCACACAACTGTTGGTGAGTCAGGAACCAGAGA